CCTGTTATGTGTGTGTTTTCTCATTTTTGTTTTCTGTTGCCACTTCATTAGTCTTACTGTCGATTCGTTTTCTTTTGGTTTTATTTTGCATGATTGTTCCGAATTTGCTGCATACCCATCAACTCTCCGACATACTGTGTACATTTTGAAACTTCTCAAGTATGGAATAATCATCAACAGCTGAAAATACGTCTTTACTCGGATTCGCCATCATATGTAATACAGTATTACTACGGTATTTTGATTCAAACACTGTTCTTCGCCGAGTTGTGGTGAAATTCCGAATGGCGATTTAGGAAATATTGTACTGGAAGAGCGATTCTCATTTTCATGAGATACATCCAACATTTCTTCGCGCTAAAAGTAAATAAATAAATTATTAATTTTTTCAATCAACTTATACTCGATTAAATATTTCTTCTTCTTATATTCCTTTTTTAGCTCGGGAAAGTGGGCAGCATATTAGAGAAAGTGTGAAAGGGAAGGTCAATAAAATTAATCGGCTCCTTGACGCCAAATGAATTGAAAGGGTGCGGTGATTCGCGCTAAGCATATTTGTTTCCGAAATTGATTCATTGTGTCTTCCTTTATCCTCGCCATTTGAATATTTCCTTCGATCGAAACACTTTCGAATAATGCTCCGACGAGAGTTTGGCTCCTGTTGGACGAAGAGTAATGAAAAATAGGCAGCGAATGGTTCCAAAATTTGTGCCAGTAAATTATAAAGTGCAGGTGAATTCCCTCTACAACGAAATTCAGGGGACCAGGAAAAAAAATTCTTTGTCGAGAGAATTTTTTTCGTGGAGAACCCATATATGTGTGGAGTTCCTATGGGGCAAAAAAAAAATCGCACTGCAGAGAAAATCGTTTTAGAGAGGGTCTACCTTTTTTCCTCCAAGTTCTGAAATTAAAAAATTGTAAAAAACATGCTGAACCGATGACAAGACTTTCTGGAAGTTTCTTTTCATTTAGGAAGGGATTGCCTGAGATTTCCGCCTCGAATTAGGCCAACTTTTCGGCTCATCTTTTGTCAAGTTTCATTTGAAGATGGCGTTCAAACCTAAGATGCCGTATTATCAATTTCCGGCCCTTAATATTATATATATATATATTGTGGCTGGTGAACCTCATTTCTCGCAACTACCTGTCTTTTTTTTTTCAATACCTTGAAACTTTTTAAGTATGGAATAATCATCGTCAACAGCTGAAAATATGTCTGTACCCGGATTCGCCATCATATGTAGTACATTATTGGTACTATTTTGATTCAAACACTGTTCTACGCCGATGTGGTGAAATTCCGAATGGCGATTTAGAAAATACGGCATAAGTTGATTGAAAAAAATACAGTAATTTATTTATTTGCTCTAAAAATAAATAAATAAATAGATTACTGTATTTTTTCAATCAACTTATGCTCGATCCATTGCTTCTTTGACGAGCATAAATTGGAGGAGTGGTCGGGGACTCGTGAAATATTGCTCTGTAAAGCTCACATGCATCTCCATCCAGCCATTGGAACTCCCAGCGAGGGAAGCACATGATTGACAACACTTTGTGAACCAAACCCTTTGGAGCTTTTTTGTTTTGTTTTGTTTTGTTTGTATTTTGTTGACGATGGCGTGGCGCCAGTCGCAGCAGTTTCGTAGTCAAGGTTGATCGATTGTTTCTACAGTTAGTCGACAAGTACTGGGTTGGACTGAATGGCGCGCGTCGGATTGCGCTCTAATTTATCTTTTTTTTCCACGATTTTTTTGTTTTCCATTTCCAGTTTCTCGATTACCAATCGACTTATTCCCTTTCTCGTGTTTCGAATTTGCATTGACTTTCGGCCGAGGTGTTGTGGGCGATTTAAGTTTTTTGCTGTAATTCCGTGTTTGCTGGCGTGTCGTTTGCCTTCGGTTTCGCACCAGAAGCTGTCCATTATTATTCCGATGTTTCGGGCTTTTCGATCGACCGCGAGAGTTTTTATTTCGCACACAGTAATTTGAAAGAAAATGGGGGCTTTGTCCTTGAATATTTATGGGTGTTCTTTCGACCTGAATTTGTTTGCAGTTGTAATGGTCGAGGATGTGCGGAATGTGGTGAGGTATTTTCGATTGAAAAGGTCTCACTTTCATTATTTTTTGTTGTCCTAGCGAGGAAAAAAAAACAGAGTTGAAACTGCACCCAGTTGCTCATAAGAAATTAGGTTTGTAAATTCATATTTTCATCAATAATTAATATTCAACCAGTTGTAAGAACCGATAAATATTTTTTCAAAGTACTGTCGAACCTCTCAAAATTATAATCTGGGTAGGGAAATTCGACTTCGGTAGTTTTCGAGTTGAAGTAGCATTTTTTTTGATAACGTTGGAAAAATTGCAGAAAGGTAGAATTGGGGATCTTCTCGGTCTCGAACCGCTGGATAAATACGTTGACAGGATGATGCTTAACTTCAAAGCGAAGGTACATTTTCCCAATTTGTCCACTCGCTTCTGTTTGAAAAGCATTTACTGTAGTTGAATATTTTTTTCTTAGCCTTTTACCTGGAATAATAGCTTGAAGGCCTCAAAGATTTTCGAGTTACAGAAGTTTAATGTGGGAAGTCTTTCAGTTAAAGAAATACAGTTTATAGTGTTGATGGAATTCAGAAGGTGACCAGAAAATTTTCAAAATACTCTACGCCGGTTTTCAACTCAGGTTGATCTGAGTTTGCGAGGCTCAACTGTAATTGAAGAATTTTTCTTTCATCAAAGGTCTGAAATAAATTTTCCAAAGAAGAAAGATTTTATTCTGGCTACTTTTATTGTCAATGACTCTGATAGTGAAGGCTTTCCAGTTGCCCTAAAGTGAACGAGAAGTTGTGCAAGCAGGGACTGCAAATTGAAGAGATTCTCAGCAAATGAGCAAAGGCTTGCTTCTTGTCCTTTTAATTAAATCACAGTTGGTTGGCTCGTGCTGAATTTAAAACTTGGTTGCCCGAAGTACTGTACTTTATTTCGAGGTATTGTCTTTAAAATAAACTATTGTGCAATCCTTTTTAAACACAAAAAAACAGAGTTCCTACACGTGTGTTGCAGTCCTTCACTGGTGATCCAGATACAGTACAATACCTAATTATCTTTTTTTTTCCTAGAAAAGCACTACTATTTTTTTAATACGCTCCAAAACTATTACCTGAATAAAGAATGCGAGTTCAACAGTTTGAGTAAACAACAACTACCGCACAACAAGAATAAAAAAAAACACGCTCTATTTTTTTGTGCCTCTCATCGAAGTAATTAAACCCGAACTTTTTTTTTTCTGTGAACTGATGCGTCGTCCATCAGCGAAAGAATGCTCACTCCTTCATGTGTTCTTTGTTGGAATGCTTTTTAAAAAAAGTTTTAATTACGAAACTGGGCATCATCTCTTATTTTTTCCCCCACCACAGACTTCCATCTCTCGCATGGTTGTGTCCTTCGTGGGGACAGTCCACTCACTGGACGACCGATAACCTTCCGTTCCGCTCCCTTTTAAGTGGTACTTGGTAGAGGGGGGGGGGGGAAACAACGAGTGGATGCAATTATTTTTGTCCCCGCTGACGAGACTCGTTAATGATTTCCATGATTCGAAGCCGACTGGATTGTTTCAAATCGGCCCGGTTAACAAGAGGGACTTTGTGGAATGGGGATGTAAAGGTTGGAATTGACGTGAAACCGAGGACTCGCACCAGCAGCTGCTGCTTATCAACAATTTTAATCCAGCTCTTTTTCATTCAAGAATACCGTATTTTGGTGGGGGGGGGGGAGGGGTTAACCTTCTTGCTGTTCGGCAGCCTTCCGTTAATCCATTCTTCTCCCGTCATTTAATCATCACGTTTTTTTTGGGGGGGGGGGGGGATTTTTTCCTACGACATTGAGTGTTTGAACATAATGAGGCTATTTCTCATGGATTGGAGAAAATGAGCCAGCGATGTTAATTAACTCGGTATAAACGGGCGATGCAGTTCACGGCAAAATACCGAATGATTAAAGAATCCAGTTTGAATCAATATTTTGTCCTTGGGCATTTTTCCCCCCGTTTCCGGGTTTTCGAGATGCAGAAATATTTGCTAAATGCTTCAAAGTCAACACGACAATGATTCGGAAAGACTGCTGTACAATACGCATTTGAAAATATTAAGAGACACTCAGCCAGGATTTTCAAATATTGTACATTATTATATTCCTCGTGGGTTGAATGCGTAATAAATGTTCATTTTTTCGAAGAAAAGAAGTAAGGTAAACCGAACTGGACGATTATCCATTTGTCATTCGTATTTCATCTCGATGATTTGGATTTGAAACGGGGAAAACTATGTGAAGATTTCTTCTTTTTTTTCTTACGAATTTATAAAGCCTGCGACTGTGAAAAAAATATGTATTTTCTGAAAGTAGCTTTGATAGTTAACACTTCCAAGTCCCTGTCTTCTGTTCATTTCGACTTTTGACCAACGAAGATGGTAAAAAAAAAAGTTCGGGTAATAAACTAATGCAGCACTGTATTTTTTAAAGCAATGTACGTTATCACAAAATTGACATAAACGTATGCTCCTAAACTCGTTTGTGTACACGATAACGAATGCTATTCGTGTTTTTTTTATTTAATGCGAAAGGAAACATTCCAAGCTTTCAATGAAATGTATTTTAACCGTAATTATAATTTTTTTGCATCGTAAATTCGTAATAAGATCCAGAAGTTGAACTGTTGACATTCTTGAATTTGGTTCCGTGGAAATAACGTCCATCGCGTGACACGCCTCCGACAGAAGGGCAAATGACAAAATTATCCTTTTTATATTTATATTTCCTTGTCAGTATTTCGATACGTTTCTTGCTTGAATCGTATTTCCAATCGAGTCGGTGTCAATTTTGTTGGGGTTTTTTTTTTTTCGTTATGGAAAAACCTTTTGGATGTGCGATTCTTGAATCGTATTTTCATTGAAATTGGTTCCAATTGAGCTCATTTTGTATGGATACTTTTTTTTTCATTTTTAGTGACCGGATGAAAGTCGACGAGTGCCTCCGTCACCCGTGGCTGAAGTGCGGCAAGCCGGAAATCCCTCGACCCGACAGCATCCCGATCCTGCCCCGACAGGAAAGCTGCCCTGCTTGCGGCAGTGGCAACACGACCCCCGTCAACACCCCATCCTCATTCCTCAACGACACCCAGCAGTCCCCGCGTGGTCGTCGCTTGTCCAACCTGCACCCGTCGACCGACAGCCTCGACAGCGACACGTCAGTGGAAACAGTGAAAGCCGCCCACAACGGCACTCGTCGCATGATCCCCGACGACGAGGAGGAAGAAGAAGACCTGGACGGAGACCTGAATGCGTCCAAGCGGTATTCGGCGTCCACGGAAACCGTCACTTCGTCTTCGTCGTCTTCCAGTAATTCCATAGGTGAATATACATACGAAAACAATATACAGTGAGACCCCCACATGCGGACACCTCGATATGCGGACAATTCGACATAGGGACACTTATTTTATCACAAAGATTACTAAATATGGCCCGACATGAGGACACTGACTCGATACATGGACGTTTTGTTATAAAATTTCAAATACATTTCAGGCCAAATTACAAGAAACAGATATTTCCAACACTAAAATTGAAAAATTAATAAAAAAAGGTCTGACATGAGGACACTGTCTTGACATATGAACATTTGTGATGAACTTGAATATACGTTTTGGGCCAAATTACAAGAAACAGATATTTCCAACCCTAAAATTGATGTAAGAAAAGTTCTTGGGCATTTCTCTCACCAATTTACCATCCATTTAGCTAATTTAAAAAAATTACCTCCAGCATAGAGGGACTTCCTTCTCTCTTTTTCACTTGAATGTTATTTTTACAGACAATGCCAAAATTTCTATGGACTGTACAGAGGAATCAGTATTCAATTCCTCAAATGTCCATATTGTGTTAGAATATATAGATTGAATCAGTTTAAATTGGGAGAAAACTTTTATTTTCATGTAATTATGTTGAGTATTTTGTCCATAAAACATCAATTAAAAATTCTATTACGTAAGTCTAAGGTAAAATGAGACTTGACTTAGGGACATTTCAACTTAGGGACACTCTTGATGCACCAATTACGTCCGCATCTTGGGGTCTCACTCAATCTATATATCTATATATTTTATGATTTTTGGGGAAAAGCTTTATTATTTGGGTGTTTGTTTTCCTTGCATTCTCCACGGTTATGAAAGGCAGGTAAAATTTCACGCAAACAGCGGATTTCAAATAAACCAACTTGGCTCTGGGAGTAATTTTCTTGTTGGGACTATCCAGAATTCTAGATTATTCATCTATTGATGAAATTAATGCGCCATTTGTTCGACAAACGAGCACTTTTCGTATTTAAGGTTCAAATCCTGTCGTGAAAAAAACAACGTATCGTTTTTATTGGAGGGCCAAAATAAAACTGGCGCTCCCATGACGGAAATTACGTAACCCGAAAACATGAATGAATTTCCGATAGGCATTGAAGCGTTTTTTTTTTTTTTTATAGCCAGGTCGACAAAAATGATGCAGCACAACCCGTGGCCTTTGACTTTTTTTTAATAGTTTAACTTTTACGACTGCAAAATGTTTGCGTTCCTCGTCCTTGAGACTTTTAATCGAATTAGTTCGTGATTATTTAATGATTTTTGCGTTACATATCGGTTGTTAAATGGGTGCAATCAGTGGAAGGAACAGAGTTAGAAAGTCGCTCAACGCGCAGAGATGTTGAAAGCTGTGCAAAAATTGACCCAGGCAACTGACTGAGCAATCGAAAAAATTCGAAATTTGAATATTATTGTGCCTGTGCATATTTTGAAACATGCAAGTGTTCAATAAAATGACTTGAGATTTTTGATAATGTCACGTTTAATAACCAAAAAGGTATTTCGCAAACACTACCGAATCTTCAAAATAGTACACTACGGAAAGAGGTTGAAAATTCGTCAAAAAAGTCAACGTTGCAACCAGTGGATATGACGCCTTCTCCGAATGGAGTTTCAACATTTTCTCGTCGAACATCGCTCCAAAATATTAATAATGTTTTTTTTTCTTCTTTTCTTTCAAACTCAAAAGGCATCAACGGGAACCGAGCGTCCATGACGACGAGCATGACGTCACTGCGTTCCCCATACAGTCGACGGCGATCGTCGATGGAGTCGCTCACGCCGCGGTTTTCGGCGTCCATTCGAAGCATCCCAGAGTCCATGATTCGAGCTTCAGTCGCTGCAACTTCTGCAGAAGTTGAAGAAGATGCTGGGTTTGAAGCACGGGAAGAAGAAGAAGAATTACCAATTGACCAGGAGACGATTCGGAGGACGGAAATGGTTGCGTTGTACGGGTCCCGTTCGGCTGAGAACCGGAAGCGTCGCTCGTCACCGGCGACGCGGTTTTCCTTGGGCCACAACACTCGGCTGTTCCCCATGCTCGGCGAGGACGACGTCGATTCTCCCGACGATAGTGTGCCATGCAAGAACGAGGTGAGTGTTTTTTTTTTTTTTTTTTTTTTACACACCTGAGACCCATTAGCTTGCCGAATCAGCTTTTGCAGGAATTTTATTTTTCCTCGAGGTTTGGTTCGTTAGTTTTGAAACTCAGGTGTCGCAAGAAAATTGCCGTCACCAAAAGCTGGTCGCAGAGTGTTTTTTGTATGTGGTTATTCAGTTTTAATGATTTTTTTGTGTAATAGGCCGCTGAGGAGATATTTTTCCATCATTTAGCGTGAGCTGTGGTTGGTTGCTTATCAGTGACCCAGATTTTCCATTTTTAAAGATTTTAAAATCTCTTGAACTTGTGTTCGGGTGGAGGGTTTGAAAAATTTCCTGTCATAGCATTACCTCATCAGTTTTAGTAACATTTTGGCATGAAAGACAGAAAAAAATTTTTTTAGAACGAGATTTGGCATTGTTAAGAATGATGCCATGGCTATATTTGGGGCTTTTGTTCACGAACCTCGTAGCTAAAAGCGTTCTCGCGTTGACCATTTTAATTCTTTTTGTCTGTCTGAAAATTTGTGTTTAGTTAAGATCTTGTTTGCGGATATTTTCTTCTATTCGAAATTTTTTTTATCTTAGTCCTAGATTTAATGATTAAAAAAAGAAAACCTCAAGCACAAGGAGGAAAGTAACTCAAGTAGACCCACGTGAAAATTGGGTTCAACAGTTCTGGATTAAAATTTCTGCACCTTGACTCCCATAAAAAGAAGGAAGACGTCAATGAATAAAACACCTTTTTGGGAACTAATATGAATGCATGATATGTATTTTTCATATAAGAATTATTCTTTCCCGAAGTTAATTTTGAAGTAGAGCTGAAGTTTCTCTGTTTTGATGTGGCCATTTTACTCTCTGAAAATGACACTCGAGCCCCGAAAACTGAGCATAATGCAGTGAGATTTTCAGCAGGTAAACTTGTGGCACTAAATCGAGTGTTTACTGTGCGTTTATGCTGAATTTTTGCTCGCTCGTGAGTGTGACTCATGAATTTTTTTTTTTTTTCAATTTGCAGAATGTGCCATCATCCCCATTGAAGAGCGACGACGACCAAGTGCCGACCCATGGCCGGTGTTTCCTCACCGCAGGCGAAGACACTCGGCGAGCATTCTCCGTTCCGGCGGCCTTTGATCCGCCGGACTCGGAGCCTGGCCTCCTGCCGACGCGTCTCATGATGACCGCCGCCACCACCACCACCACCACCGACGCCCACAACCACAGTCAAAGCTGTTGCGACGACCTTTCCGACTCGCGCGGAAGCGTCAACGTCACCAACGGCGGGTCCCAACAACGCCATCATCACCCTCACTACCACCACCTCCTCCATTTCCAACAGCAACAATTCCACGCCAACAACCGCCAGCCGCAGTTCCCGGCGCCGCCGCCGAAAGAATCCAGCCCTCGGCTCAGCCGCCTCTCGTCCGAGACGTCTTCCGAACGTTCCAGCGGCGTTTTCAGCGACTACAGCGAGCTCAGCAGCGACTCGAGCAGCGACAGATCCAGTGTGATGAGCTGGGAAGAAGCCGCCGACGCCGGCAGTAATCACATGGGCGGCTGCTCCGCCGTCGGGGCGCCTCGGTTCCAGAATGCGCTAGAAGAGCGCTTTTTTGAGCTTAACCTCTGGGAGACGGTGTGGGACGAAGTGGCCCTGCGGAACCGTCGCGGGACATGTCCCGGCCGTCGCGGCAGTGCAGATGCGCACAAACCCTGGGAAAAGGTGTGCAGTGGGATCGTGGCTCGGGCACAGGCACAAATCGCGACCAAGTCGACGCGAAAGGCGCCCACGAGTGCCGCCAACAACTCGAGTGCCAATTGCCGAAGTCTGGGCCGCAGTCTGGGCCACACCGTGAGTCGCTCTATCACTCGGCTCCACGAAAAGGGCCAGATGGTAGGGCCGTTGCCAACGACGACGACGTCGACAGGGTCACAAGACGCTGTTGTTCAAAAGGCATCGCCGAAAAAGCCGACGCGGGCGCCGCCGATGCCGCCTGTCGCCGTTGTTGTTGTTGGGACCCCGTGCGTGCGGAAGTTATCTGCGGCGTTTGATAATTCCAGCAAAGTTGCACACGCTAGGTGAAGCGAAGTTGATTGAAATCGGAGAAAAACGAACTGAATTCAAGGCTCATGCAAAAGGAGTATTTTTTTTTTCTTTGTTTGATGTCGCATTTTTTGGAGGAGGAGGAGGAGGAGGGGAATGAAAAGAGCATTAAAAATTCCGTCGTTCCTTTTCAAACCGATGCAGGAGCGAATGTGAGAAAATGTGTGGCTGAACCACGCAGTTGAAGAAGCTTAACGATGAAAATTCAGTGAAGATGTCCGGATGAACGATTTTCTTTCCCTTCGAATCGAAAGACGGTGAAACATTTTTTTTTTTTCTCGTGTGGAATATTTATTGTGGGGTTTTCGTTTTTTCTTGTGTCAGAAAACGACTTCAAATTCTTGTCCTCTTTCTTATTTTTTGGCGATGATATTGAAAGAAGTATTCCGTGAGATTTTTTCGTCGTGATTCCGTTTTTTTCTCTTGCCTTTCGGATGCTAGATGGCCGAATCTGCTTTTCTCCGGGTTGAGAAGCAGGTCCCTTTTTTGGCGCATATATCTTTGGAGCATCTGTGATCGAGCTTAGAGATCGAATGTGTCGCGGATTTTCGTCTCTTGAGTTCATTGAAAATTCAGCATTCATTCGAAAAATATTTTCTGCGAAAAGACAGAAGAGAGAGAGAGAAAGAAAGAAAGAGATAGAAAGCAACATTGTCGTTCGGCTTTTTTGCTTCACCGTGTCTAAAAGGGGTATTTTTCCGCGATTTTCGCTCCGTCTTTATTTTTCGGCAAAAAGTTAAGAGCCCTTTCGAAAGTTGCTTCCGAGATGTTTCTAGTCAAGATTTTTTGCCAAAGTTTTATTTATTCTCGTTCACGATGCGATTTATTTTGCTCCTCGCGGTCTTTTATTTTCTGTCGGTCTTCGATTGAATAGGTAACGAGTGGTATAGTTTGTTTCGTGCTTGCCGACGTGCCTGACGAATGATTTTTCTTTTCTGCGGAAAGCGGAAGTAAGTGAGTGAGCTTGTAAGGGACCGGCATTTTTTGGCGTCGCTCTTTGAATTAAATGCGAGGCACGAATATTTTTGTTTTCCTCACAAGTAATTATGTGTGTGGTAGGGCGAAGTGTGACGCTGTCTTTTTTTTTTTTTTTTCGTCAGACTCGATTTTGTCCATTTTTAACAAGTGAGTTGAACGTTTTTTAAGGCCTCTCTATTTTGAACATGATGGAAGCGAAGCGTGCAGAAGGAAGGGAATGTAATTCCGAATTTTGTGTATCGGGTGCTTAGCGGATATTCCTATTTTGACGTGATTTTTTGTTTCTGATAGTTCCTCGTTTTTTCTTGATTCATGGCTATTTCCGACTTTGCGTGATGCTTCGAGGATGGAGAGGATGAATTTATTACATTCCTCTTCTATTTTCTCAACTGATTACCGTGGCTGAAATCTGAAGCGATTTCCGTCTTCGCACGTCGAGTATGACATGATTTCTGCGCACGCGAAATTCTGCTTTTACAAATCATGTCTTGTTCTGCAGTTGCTTGACGATTAAAAATGATTTGAGTGGGATTGATTCTTGTCATTTTGCCTGTTTCCATAAGTGCAATAAGTATCTTTATTATTATAGGCGGCACACCACTAAGCATTTTCATTTCAACTTTTGTGTCAGTGCCAAGTTTTGCTTACTCAATGTCAAGTACTATACAGATATTCTTGATACCTAGAGTCTACAATCGTAAAGTGAATTGATGATTGTACAAACCAACTCATGTAACCGAAGTAACTGAGGAATGATGACAATTCTTCGAGATACATTTCTTTCTAAACTGACATGTTCTTCCTGAGTTGTAATCGTGAGCCTCTCCAATTCATGTGCAATTAAATACAATAATGAACAGATTATACCAGCAAGCATACTGTATTCGAACTTTCGTGAAGATGTTCTTCCATCGCACCTCTGCATTCAGCCACTCCGCATTTTCCAACAAGGGCTGTCTCAGTTATACGCAAGATTAAATATTTTTAACTTAGTTAGGAATTCTGAAAAATTCTGTAATTTTCCTCTCTTGATGTCTCAGGCATTGGTGTTTTATTTTAGATTTGCAACTTTTTCTTCAGTATACAGCGGGATGAAAATTGTAAGCTTTCATGCAATACAAAAGTACTTCGCATGTATGTAGCATTACCAAATGTTTCTCATTTTTGCGTAGTTCCGTACGAGGATAAGAAGCAATTTGAAGTGTTGCTCTACTCCTGGTTTTAACTGAAAAATTTTTTAACGGGTGTGTTTATTTATGCAAAATATTTTCCTATCATATTGAATGTGCGTTCATCTCCGCATATCTTTCCAAAAAATAAAAAAGAAGACTGGGTAGCTTATGGAACGAACAAGATGATCGAATCGTAAAAATGAAGTAAACTTCAAGCGACATCTAGGTAATGGTAAGTTGAATCGGAGAGTCAACTGGCTTTCATGACTCAATAGGTGAAGCTTAATTCGCTCCGTCGAATCCTTCTTCATTCGTTGTTTTCCTTCTTCAAAGGTAATATTTCCCAACAAGGATTATTCCTCCCATGGATGAGAAAAAAGTTCCGTTCTATGTTAGAAATATCGGCGGAGCTATTGTTTGTTATGTTCATGTGAACGCGTGTAGTAACGCCTTCGTTTTGGGTGTCCTGTGAATCGTTCAAGTTATACGCGAGCGATTCACCGTCTTTTCTAAGTGATACCTTGATGGATTTATCCTAAGATTGTTTTTTATGCGCAAGTGAAACAAGTACGTTGTGCATCTACACTGAATCGAGTCGCGTTTGCAAGCCAGTTTCATATTATTGTCGAAATGCTGCCAACTTCAACGACGCCGAGAGGCACTTGAATAAACCAAGGCAGCTTTTCTGGTCCTCACATGTGACGCGCTTCTTGAAGAACAATTCACAGCCTTACTCAACGCACAAGTATTTTTGCATGATTTCCCTCGTGCTGGGTAATCGGCTGGCACATGCCCTTCTACCTTGCAGTGAATAGTCAAGAAAGATGCAAGAGTTCCCAACTGTTGCAGCAGCTTCGTCTCCTACAAAGAATGAGACAA